ACTGACAACACCACACACCACACCGGAACGGGCGCGCGCGCGCCACGCCGCCCTTCGCCCCGCATAGGAAGATCATAATTTCAGGATGTACAACAACGGCATAAACCCATGGCTGCTACGTTCTAAAAGAATTGAATAATAACTAAATTAGTCGATCAGCGCGCGAGCAACAAAAGAAAAGAAAAATGCTAATACATCAATAAGAGGTGTAATTTAAAGCCGGAAAAAAGAAGAAAACCCCCCCCCCTGAAATAAAATAAAATAAAGAAGTACTAAAAAATATAAATATAACACCTGCTTATTGCTAATTGGCATCGTCACGGTAGCGGCGCTCCAGGTGCTTGCGGTAGTGTTCGGGGTTCAGGGCCTCCCCGGTGGCCTGCTTGAGCAGCTCTTCCGTCGTCAGCGACGAGCCGTGCCGCCAAATCTTCTCGTTCTGCTTCGCAAGAAGCTTGTCAAGCTCACCCTTGCGGATGCAATCATCCACAACCTCCTCGCCAAGCTCCTTCCGGATCGAGCTCATCAGCTGCGCCGCCACCATTGCCCCCAGCGAGTACGTCGGGAAGTACCCAAGCATGCCTCCTGCCCAATGAATATCCTGCAGGCACCCCTCCTTGTCGTTGCCAAGGGTTTCCAGGCCAAGGTAGCTCTTCATCTTCTCATTCCACACTCTCGGCAGGTCCTCCGCCTCCATCTTTCCTTCCATCAGATCGCGCTCAATCTCGTAGCGCAGGATGACATGCAGCGGATAGCAGAGCTCGTCAGCATCGATTCGGATGAGGCCAGGGGACACGCGCTGTGTCACCCTCTTCATATTGGCAGGGGTAAAGGCCGGCTGGTCACCAAAGTACTCCACAAGCTTGGGGACAAGCAACTCCGTGAAGGCACCTGAGAGACCAATCTGCATTTCTGCAAACAGCGACTGGCTCTCATGAATGCCAAGTGAACGTGCCACGCAAACGGGCTGGGTCTCAAATCCCGCGGGGCCACAATTCTGCTCATACTTGGCGTGCCCTGTTTCATGAATGACACCCATCAGGCTCGTCACAAATTCGTGCTCACGGTAGTTTGTAGTGATGCGCACGTCCTCCTTTGAGTTCCCAGTAAACGGGTGTGCACTGACGTCCAGCCGACCAGCATCGAAGTCAAACTTCCACACGCCCATAAAGAATCGACCCAGCGCCTCCTGTGTTGCCACAGGGAACGGGCCCTTGGGATACACAATGTTCTCGTTGAGCGCCTTTTGCTTCGCCTGCACCTCCTTCAGAAGTCCAGGCAGCCACGACTTGACGTAACTGAAGACCTCGTCCAGGCGCTGCAGCGTCATGCCGGGCTCATAGAGATCCACCAGGGCCTCGTACGGGTGCTTGCCGGAGTTTCCTGCACGCAATTTCCCCTCCTCACGGTACAGCTCAACCAGCTGCTTCATTGTCGGGAGAAATCCCTCAAAGTTATTCTCCGCACGGCACTTCTTCCACACTTGTTGAGCCTTTGTTGTAAGAACTGTTTTGCGCTCGACGAAGTCTCCGGGAAGCATGTTTTCCAACTGCCAGGCCCGACGCATCTCACGAAGATTGGCACGCTGTAGCTCCCCAAAAGCTCCCGCTGACCTTTCAGCTTCTTCGAGCAGTGCTCGCACCTTTGCATCGGTGATAATCCCATGCACATGCACCTGAAGCTCCGCCATCGCAGCGCCACGTGCCTCAGCCCCCTTCGGAGGCATCATCGTCTGCGAATCCCAATCCGCCAAAAGCAACAAATGCCCATAGCGATAGAGTTTTGTAAAGACCCTCTCAAGTTCCTTGTATGCCTCCATTACCTTTTTGTTTAGCGCAATGAACCTGGCGAGCACAACATAGTACGCAGGAGAAGTAGAGTGAGAAAGGGGGGGGGGCACGCTGACAACACCACACACCACACACCACACCGGAACGGGCGCGCGCCCGCCACGCCGCCCTT